GGCAGCGTCTGCATGCCCGCCCCAGGTGGGGTGGGGCTATGCACGTGCACCTCGCCGACAGCACCGCCGCCGCAGCGGTGTGACGTCACAGTCGTGCTTTTCTCCTATATGTGCATCGACGTAAAAAAAAGGGGCGGAGCTTCAAAGGCACAGGTGTGCAGCGAAGACGCCTGATCCGCGCCAAAATAAAGTCCTAGCGGTGTGACTCGCGCTGTTCGCCGCGCTCCTTTTTTTTTTTTTATTGCACCAAGCAGGACACAGTTGGATAGCTTCATTGAGGACCAAACCTAATTGCGCGAAACTCCGTCAAAAGTGGTTAAACGTAACAACTTGGGCCAATCGTCCATGACGGGATGTGTAATAGTTTCGAAACTGCGGTGGTTCTGCAGGTCATTAAAACTCTGTATCTTTCTTCGACAATTATTCGCGTAAATACATAATGCATCCCCTACGTTGCATCTCTCCTCCGCTTTGGCTATCGCGTAATGACATATTTTAATGGTCATTAAGAGTGAACATGCTTCCACCTGCTCAAAAGAGCTCTTTCTTTTTCTTTTTTTTTTTTTAACTACCGTTCGAATACATCTGCCCACTGCATTGCCTGCGAGGTGCGTTACTGCCACCCCCTCCTGTTTTGACCAATTGTGACGTCAGATCTATAATTGTGCGCTATGATTAGGGTTTGGTGTTTTCGATAAAGCCGATAAACTCCGAAACGCTCTCGCCGGTAAAAATTGTCGACAATTCGAATTTCGAGGTCACAACGACAAAGTAAAAAAAGACAGTATTTTGCAAATGAACGTCATAAAAGCACAGGGTCAGTGGTTTCGAGGAGATGCCACTTTAGTTTCCTTTGACATCTCGAACTACTGACCAAAGGTGTTTGCCTTATAGCGTGCATCAAGGTTCCTTAAGGACAACGGGTCAGGGGTATACCCAGTCCGTATATTTGGTCTTTGAATTAAAAGAAGAAAAAAAAATCTGGAGCACAGTAAAATAAGTTTTGAATTTCAGAGAGTCGTGAATCTAACTCAAATAAACTCTGTTAAACCCGGAATTTTCGGCGAAGAATACGCTCCGCAAAACACTTTCCGAATTCCACGAGTCGCGACCCGTGATGAGACGCAAAACATTTAGATTGAACGTCACTACAGTACCGGTTATTTTGGGAAAATGGGGACTCGTAGCAAACCGTTACCGTGTTCGGCGTACCGCACTACCGGATAATTTTGAACCATGCATTTGAGTGCTCGCCCGGGACATACCGTGACCACGGGGTGCGCGCTTAAAGGCATGCTTCAAAGTTCTCCAGTAGTGCGTAACGCGGAACACGGTAATGGTTTGCTACAAGTTCCCATTGAGAGCGCCAAAACACATCTGCAGGCGCACCGTAAAGGCCTTACGTGGTTGGTCACTGACGTGGTGAAAACAACAAGTAGCGAAGGGGGCGCCTTCAATCGTCGATTAAGTCCTCAGGGGTCAAGAGCATTGTCTTATTTAATAATGCAAATCAGTCTACGACGCACGTACTGTTCCATAGTCACACAAGACTAACAAGAGGCAAACATGTACGAGGAACCTCGTGACAAAGCAATATTCAAGCACTGGTCACGCCATCCCTCATCGCGATGCTTCCGCTACCAGACTTCTTCGAAGCCATTCGTCATCGCTCTGGTTCGTCGTTAAGTTTCTTCCGAAATATGTTGATCGTACGTACTATCGGGGAAAAATGAAATGCGAACAGAAGAGCGCGTGGCTCGCGGTACAGGCTGCGCCGCCTGGAAGTGAGCCTAGGAGCGGGGGTGTGTGGCCTACTCCGACGTGTTCACGCCCCTCCCTCTGCGCTCCCCAAGCTTCAGCAGTACGCCTCCTAGTGCGCTGAAAGCTGTCACCGCTACCTTTGCTGGCTCAGTGCGTGCGGTGCAAAGAAGCTCACCGCACTCGCCGAGCAGGCAAAGATAACGGTGTCAGCTTTCAGCGCACTGAGAGGCGCACTGCCGAAGCTTGGGGAGCGCCAATCGAGGGGCGTGAACACATCGAAGTAGGCCACGCACCCTCGCCCCTAGGCTCACTTCCAGGTGGCGCAGCCTGTTCCGCGAGCCACGCGCTCCTCTGTTCGCGTTTCATTTTTCCCCGATAGTACATCTCAGAAACAACAAAACTGTTTTGTGACTTGATGGCAGCTGGGAGTCACCTAACAGTAAACAACATATACCACCAAGGGAAAACAATAATACCACACACGAGTGCAGAATCACTGTAAGCAGGGGAGCGGGGAGCTTCGCCGTTCTCGGTCATGGCGACGGATCTCGGCAGCAAGACTCGCCGCGCAGGCTTATCGGAAGGGTTTTGGTCACGTGTTCAACGTGATCCAATTGAAGAGTGGCGGGAACGGCCGCCGTAGAGAGAGAGAGAGGGGGGTTGGGCAAAGAGGAAATTTCTTTTTTCCTGCCTAGACAATAGATTGCGCTACCTTCAGTATAGAGGGACCTTAAGCTTATCATGCCATTATTGTCATAGAGCCAGCCTCATGCAAATCTTAAAAAAGGCCGACTGCAGCGACGTTTCCTTGCGGGCACGTCGTCATGGGGCGCCACGGGTCGAGTGTTGGATAGCCGTAAGAATGATATTTTAGTATTAAGGAGGAGATCCAACCGCTGCGCCCCTAGCGGCTAAGCCGAGAACTACACCCATTGGGGCAGCAACAACATGCACGATTTGTTTGTGTTTTTGACGCAGCGCTGGGCTGCTATAGTCGAACGCTTCGTCGATAAAGCACCAATAGGCCATTTGCTAAATTCTCCAGACACCCCGGCCCGCACTCCAAGAATCATGGGAACAGTGTTCCTTCAGTTCCCTAGTAATCGGTAATTTCGGCCAATTTGATGCTTACGCACTTTTGAGTGCAATCCGGAGTCCTCCTGAATAAGCGTCGTGTAGATTGCAGAGACCTGCCATGTCAGTTTATGTCATGTCAGCGTTTCTTATGCTGTGCATGCAATCCTCCCTTCAACCCATGGCTGAGCTGCAGAAATCTCTCACTGTACCATCGTTCTCGTACAGCTTCAAAGCAATCGCGAGAACGATAATATCGGGAGATATTTCTTCAGCTCAGCCACGTTTAAAGGTGGACTGCGTGCACAGTGTCAAAAACGCCGACATTGACAAAAAGTTTAAAAAAAAGTGATATGACAGGTCTCTGCAATCTACACGAAGCTTATATTCAGGATGACTCTGAATTAATACACTCAAAAACTGTGCAAGCATCGAATTGGTCGAAATCACCGATCACTATAGGGAGCTGAAGGAACAGCGTTCCCATGATTCCTCGAGTGCGGGCCGGGGCCCCTGGTGGATTTAGCAAATGGTCTAAGCGAACGCACGTGGCAATCGAACGATGACACGGCGCTTACGTCCACGCAGTGCCCCATGCGCTCGATCGAGGAAGGTGGCGTAAATGATCGACTCCGCAGGCCTTGTGTTGGGTAAACACCGAGCTGTGCGAAAAAAACCAGCTAGACGAGGTGCTCCTCATGCGCACTAATTTTGACGTCATCACAGCGAGATTGAGCGAGGTCACCGATTGGATACGAGTGATGCGTCGGTGATCGGCTGGACCTTCGTGTCCAATTAACGTCACCAAAGAAGGCTTGGCATTGGGCTCGTTTCCAATTGCCGAGTTGGCGTCATCCGACTGGGATGATGTTCCATGGAGGGAGAGTGGGGCTTTCGGGGTCCTTCATTCTTCTAGATCAGGGGTCTCAAACACGCGGCCCGCGGGCCTCCCGCAAGCTACCGGCTACGAGTACCAGTTCCCATGTCTATAGCGCTAGAAATGGCATGCGCCATTGTGATCTTTTCTCGCCGATTTATTTTCGCTCGAAAAGTAGCGCTGCTCTTTTAACGTGTTCACATAGTTTATACTCATCTGTATTCATTTTCCCTTTGTTTGGCTTTATTGTTTTGCTTCCCAGCTTTTTATAGCGCACAACAATTCCGCTACTATGCTGCAAGCGCCAGCTATTTTTGAAGGATATATCTGGGCCGCGCGAACTCTCGATCAGCAAGAGAATCTGCCAAAGATGAAACTACACAGTCAAAATTCTCGCCTGAAAAAAAAAAACGATTAAAAAGTAATTTTTTTGAGTGTTGTAAAAAAAATATCTCTACAAGAGCAAGAAGTGTCAAATTAACCCATTGTTTCTTTTTAGAGAAGTGTTAAGCTTGGTTAATTCCTCAGTGAGCTAAGCAACGATAACAACAGTGTACCTGTTCTCTTGTTCTATTAAAAATGCCAGCATGTTGGCGCGGCGGTGTTATCGTAATTATTGTTATCACATGAGGTCGGGGCCAAAGTAATCAAATCACCTCTTAGATCACCTCACATAGACAAATAAACTCTTAAGATGTCACTCGAAAAACTGTGAGTTTACAAAAAGGGTAGAGCACCAAGATATCTTCTCTTTCAAATCTTTAACCCCCCCCCCCCCCCCTCCCCCTCGTTTACGTTGGCCCTCGACCTTTCCGGTGTGGGCTCTCTGGCCCACATGACTAAAGTGAGTTTGAGACCACTGTTCTAGACGCTGTTGAGTGGCTCGGCTGACACACTCTGCCTACCACCACGTGAGCTCAAGCCCAAGGAATGCTCTCGCCCGTAAAATTGAGCGCGGTCAGATCGCCGCACTGTAGCCATTGACGGGGTGAGAACAACGGGGAGGAGCTTCGGTTGTTCCGCCTCCGGCGCGCGCCTCCTAACTTCGATAGTGCTTCGACGTCTCGTGAGCCTGGAGCGTGCACGCACAGCAAAAGCACGACGGAAGGCAACATTAGCGCGCTGGCGGAAAGGCATTCGTAAGAGACGCCCTGCGCCGTTTTAATTCTCAGTATCTGTATCTAACTTTGATGTCAAGCTATATCCAACGTTATTTGCGTTCTGGTAACTGAAAAAAGTAGTGTATAAAATTATTATTATTTAATTTGTTTTCTGCTGATTTACGCAGGAAAGTTATAGCTGCGTAATCCTGAGCCGTCCTGGACTGAACGTTCCAAGGCTGACTTGGTGTTACTGTGAGTCGGAAAAAAAGAAAAGGTAAGACGGTGAATTGCTTTTTCTTTTCTTACTTCAAACTTTCCGTGGTTAGGTGAGGAGCTGGGAAAAGCGAAGTAACTGCTCTCTCGAGCGAACGAAATCCTGATTGTCTCAGAGAACGCATTACGTAAATGTGTTTGATTTTCTAATTTGTTGTTCGCCGTGTTACATCTGGTTTAAGGGAGAACGATCTCGGTAACGTTGTGTCAGTATACTTTAATGTAATATTGGGTATACATTGTTCCCCAACTAATCAGTATCTCAAAATTCGAATCTAAGAAGTCTAGGGTTAGCTTTGAAATTTCTCCTTGTGAGATGTTTAGGCAGGGGAAGTTAGGCGGCCTCAATATGGCGTCTGGAATCTCCGCTGATAATTGGGCAATGTGGCTGGTATACATGTTTAACTTGCGTCACGCGGTAGTTATTATACGATCGCACGTCCGTACGATGCTCATCCAGACCCAAATGACCACGGGTCTCGGGTGTAATGATATCGAAAGTTCGCGCTGCACTCAGAAGCTTGAGTTCGTAACAGGGGCAGTGTCGGACATTCCGAACACGTTCAAACAAAACTCTCTGTCGATCGTTAAAAGTTGGACTTCAAAAGGGATCAAGCCAAACCGAGCTAATAAAACACCTGATGATGAAAAACAAAAACAAACAAAAAATGACTCATAGCTGGAGGCGGCGATACTTGATGAGATTTGATGTAGAGTTCCAGATGCAATTCTGGTCCAAGTATAACTGACCCAACCAACTTCCGGGAACGTACGGATATAATTTTGTGTTTCCTTGGCTAGCTTTGTTTAGCTGTTTACAGTATGGCTTCAGCAGGCTAGTCGAAGGAACCAACCTCTTATGGGCTGCTGCCAATAGTAGCTATTTGCTTTAAAAATCAACCCCTTTTTCTAGGTGCCTGTTTTTTTTTTTTTTTTTTTTTTTTTTTTTTTTTATGCAAAAAGTTTCACTTTAGAAAAACCCCGACGCCCACGCCCGTTTTCTCAATGCCAAAAAGCGCTGTCGCAAAGGAGAAAAAAAATCGTCAATTTGCAATTACAAAATACCGCAGAAGTAACGTGCGTTACTTTTTATCGGTAACAATACCGCGTTCCTTTTATTTTGAGGTAACGTAGGTCGGTAACGCGCTCCTTTTATTTGCAAGTAACGAGTATCGTATTTCGTTCCTTTTTTTCGGTAACGCCTACAACACTGGGTATCCATTCGTGTTCTATTGGGCGCAAGACGATATAAATCGCCATTTTCGTTGGTTGTCATCATCATCATCATCGGGGCCGGCTAAGAGGCCACTTGTAGCCAGGACAAATGCTTTTTGCCGGCCTTAGACATGAAATGCAAGGCTACCAACCTTCTCCGCTTGCCGGTTTCATATCGAAAAAGCCGTCTGTAGGCAGTATCAGTTCGATCAATCTTGCTCCGGCTATAAAAGGTCCTTTAGCCGGTCTAACAGCTCTGTTTTGCGGGCACTTAAAAGGCCTTCAGAACGAACTCCTTTAAAAAATTGTCAAACCAGCACGATAAGATTAAGCGAAGCTTTAAGTGAGTTCGATCTGAATTCCCCTGAAGTGCCTCTAAAACTACAGGTTTGACTTGAGCTAATTGGTACATATTGGATAGGGTCAGCTGAACCGTTAGAACGCAGAAAAACTGAGAGAGGAAAAGACATACACACCTCTAAAAACAGGGGTAGCCCTACACCCTTTATCGGAACCATGTATCACCGA